ACACATTCAAAGCAGCACTGAGCTCCTGGGGCTGGGCCTTGGTTGCCAATACAACATTGTGTGCAGGAGTTTTCTTCTACCTTGAGACTCAGTGACTCCATCCAGCAGACAGAAACCTGGCAGCTGCTCCATCTTCCAGCACAGCGACGACCCAGATGAGATCTATATATCCAATATACGCAGCTTCATGGCTGAGGAAGGCTGTGCCAGAGTGCTTAGGATTTTTTGGCATGAGCCTGGTCCCACTTAGCATTTTTATGAATGTTCCTGCTCCTGGATTCATGCTGTAATCTAAAAATCAAAAGGGCACTCCTGCTTGTAAGCTCCTGGACTTGATGGGTACAGGGGAAAAACCTGAAATTGATGCAAACCCGTGATAAACCATTGGTGCAAATTAATGCAAAACTATCTCCAAAACTAAAACCAGCACCAAATTGTGACTGATAACCCCTCCATGAGGACCTGTGGTTGCAGCCTGACTCACAACACGTGAGCACCCAAGGTGGGAGCTGCTGGTGTGGCCCTGCAGAGAGCACTCAGCATTCCCCATCCTGACCAAAACTACAAAACCAACACATTGAAGGTGTTTGTGCAGCAGAGAGGAGGAGTTCAGGATCTCACATCACTGTGTTTTCATGTTTGTGCAGCAGAGAGGAGGAGTTCAGGATCTCACATCACTGTGTTTTCATGTCCCTGCCCATTGTTTGTGAGTCCTCTTCCACAGCTGCCCTCTGCAACCTCTGACAGTGGTAGGTTCAGCTCTACCTCTGTTTCAACACCTGGAATTTTAAGACAACCTGATTTTGCAATTAACAACTCACAAGCAGCAAATTAAATTCATACAGGGACCCTAAGTAAGCTGACTGCCTGTTCACAGGTGATTATAAACACTTATCTCTAGTACTGACATAAAAGGGACAGGGGTTGCATAAACATGTAAGTTAAAGAGGTACCAAAATATTAGTCATGACCTTGTTAAAATAGTTGATATGGCAAAACTCAGGCATGAAATAACCTGTAAAATGAAATATGATTAGTGTCAAGAGCTAATCTTCCAGAAGCCCAAACAATGTGATGCAAAGGAGCTTTTAAAAGAAACCAAACAAACTCATTTTTCATTATCTTCTGCCATCTTATTATTTCACAAGTTAGAAATCCATTAGCAATTCTGCCAAGAACTAGATAGGCTGCTTAGTTATCTAACACTGAGACACTCACATCCCATGGCTATCTTGATGTCCCTGGGGAAAAAAAAAAAGAGAAAAAGCAATGGAGTAATAAATTATTATAACAGTTTCATTAAAACTTAGGACACTGTAATTTTCAAGTTTATTTGGTGTTATATTTAAATGAACCAAAATGCAACATTGTACAGTAACATTATAAAATAAAATTATTACATAGTACATTAACCAAAGCCCCATTAAAAAAAAAATCCTAAAAAGTCATTTGGGGACATATCCTACTCTTGCTCTTCTGCACACATGATTTATTAAGCTCATTTAAAGCAGCACTCTTATTTTTAGGAAAAGCAAAATGGAATTTGCCCCCAAAATGGAATATCTTTTCTTATAGTTTTTGCAGTTTCATTTTATCATGTGTAATATATCAAGTTTATAAGGCATAAATACGAAAAACAGTTCAATATGCTCATCATAATTTTAATTAAGTAATACAATCTAGGACACTTTTTCAATCACACCAAGGATTACAATGTACCTATAGCTTGAATTTCTTTTTTTTTTTTTAATACAAAAGTCTATCATATGGTATACAGTGTATTCTAGTTGGTAACTGATTCACAAGGTGGATCACAATATTCTTGCAGGTTAATATGTCAGGATTTCACCCAGTTTGTACACTCTGTGCAGAATTCCTCCTTCCCTGGCTGCTCTCCTCCAGCAGCAGCAGCATCCCATTGCTCCATCTCCTAGCCTGTTTTCAGAAGGGCTCTGTGCCAGACCCAAATCCCACTGGGAATGGCTCGGGATGCACATCCCAGGGGTGCCAAGGAACTGCCAGGGCAGCCAGGGAGTGGAGGAGATGGCAGGGCAGTGGCTCACAGAGGTGTTTGTGGAGCAGGAAGCCAAGGCTCTGCTCTCCTCCAGCAGCATCCCATTGCTCCATCTCCTTGCCTGTTTTCAGAAGGGCTCTGTGCCAGACCCAAATCCCACAGGGAATGGCTCGGGATGCACATCCCAGGGGTGCCAAGGAGCTGCCAGGAGTGGAGGAGAAGGCAGGGCAGTGTTTGTCACAGAGGTGTTTGTGGAGCAGGGATTCAGGCTCTGCTCTCCCAGCTCCCTCAGGCTCCTGGAGGGAACCCTTGACAAACCAGTCTGGTGTGTAAGGAAACCACTGACCAATGGAGTGGGTGCCACTGGCTGCTTGTGCAAAGCAAGGAGGGGCAAAAGCACCTCAGTAAATTAGGAGGCAGTTTGGATGTTTGGGATGTTGAGTGCTTGGGTTGGGCCAGCTTCACATCACCCACAGCTCCATAACCTGCAAAGCCTTCCCAGGATTTTGGGCACCTCTAATGCAAAGACTCATCTGGTGCCAGCTGGATGAGTTGCACAGATAAACCTTGTGATCAGTAACACCTCCCACACCCCTCTCCCACCTCCCCTGGATAATATTAGGGTAATATTTTCTAAAATCAGATTACTGAGATGCCCTGGTGAAATCACTGCTGATCTGGGGCTGGGGGCAGCAGGGCTAGAGGGGCTGGAGAGGGCAGGGGGTCTGTGCCCACTCCTCCTGCCCCTCCAAGGCTCTTGTCACTGCTGGTGTGGGCAGATGGGGATTGACCCTGTGCCCCCACTCTGCTCCCTCCAGCAGCCAAGGAGGGGTGGCAGAGGGCTTCCTGACATTACCTGGAACCAGGAATAGCTTTCTTCACATAGACAATCAACCTAAATTGTGCATGAGGTAAACTGCAGAGCAGTGTCCTCCAGAGTGTTTTTCCCATGTCTAATATTAGATATCTTGCTGGCAGCTCTGAATTGTCCCCAGAGGTTTCTCTACCTGCCTGCATTTACTACGCACAGATCCTGAGCGCCTGTGCTCAGGTGCTCTGAATCACACCATAACCAAAGGCAGCCTAAAATAGACAGTGTGAATTGCTCCCTCCCTGCTGTGACTCCATCCTGCAGCATCTGGGAGGAAAGAGAAATTAGCTTAGTATTATGAATGGGCCAAAGTCACAGAATTTGGGTCAGGATTCAGGCCAGGCAGGCACAGGTTTTGTCTGTGGGCCTATTCTTGTTCTCTATTTGCTGATGGAACATCCAACCCTGTGCTTACAGTTATTTTTCTGATAGATCAAGTCTCAGGAATCACCTATCCCTAAATAAAGCACAGCACGTGAGCAGCACACAAACAGCTCTCCAACTGCAGGAATGAACTGACACACATCTAAAGTCACAACAAAGCCTTCACCTCCCACACACCCTTCCCTCAATACTTTTTTTAAACCAGTCAGAAACAAACAGTGAGTGCAGCACATCCCAGAGAGCCAGAGGAAGGAGCATCCAGTGCTTTCTTAGCTGCTGTGTCATTGTGTAGGGAGGCTGCTTCTGAGGAAACCAGAATTACCCTATACAAAGAGCATTCACTAAAAGAATCTCCTTCCCCAAGGAGGAAGATCACACTATTTCCTGAAAATATTTTTTTTTTTTCCTATACTTGACAGAAGAGCAATACTGTCTGGGTTTTTTGCTTTCACTAACCATGACAGGTTTCTGTCCCAGCTTGAGAATTCTATTGAACCTGCTATTTGCATTTGGGATAAAGCATCAAATGGACATTTCCCATGGGATACAGACTGCTTGCTGTCCAGAATATTCAACCATCATTCTTAAGTACATTAGTAAGAGGGAAGCAAAAGTTCTCCCTGTGCTGAATGCATTGCACCAGCAGCAAGTTTCTACCAGTGCTGAGAAATTGTGCCCTTAATGTAAGTGCTCAGTAACCACCAGCTCTGCTGCTTGAGGAGCACTCGGAACTGTATAGAAGGCTTGCAGGAAAAGGACCTCCATTAGTACCCATTATGCTGTGATTTATGTTATGGGCTTAAAATAGCAAAAAATTAAACAGTTCTATTTAACCTAGAGTCTAAAAAAAGGCACAAAGACTTTGTGGGGGAAAAAAATTGTAACTGTTCAGATTACATTTCCAAGAACTTTACAGAGCGTTGCTTTGATTTGCCAGCTTTGCTTGCTGGCAGGAGTGAAATTGAGACAATTTCACTGTCTGCAGAGGTAAAGAATACCCTTTTGGCAAGGCAAGTTTGCCAGCTCTATGCAAATGTTATTCAACAGAAGTAACTAAAACCTCTTGTGATTGCTTTAAAACATAATCTTTTTGGTCTGCAGCACATTGCACTTAACTAAGTACTCAGTGATGATAGAGTGGGTCTTAGGGCAAGACCAAATACAAAGAGCCCTTTTTAATCTGAACGTAGGAATGAACTCTGTTCACAGCTACACAGTCTGCTTTCAAACAAATGATCATGAAATACATAAATACTATAAAATAAATACAATACATTCAGAGTTTTCAACACTGTAGAGAGTTGTTAAGACTTCCCTAGCTCCTCGATGTGATGCATATAGAACATTCCCTTCTATACAGTGCTACCTCCATGTACCCACACCTCAACATAGCTCAGACAACTTTCCTCTCTTGCCTGGATTCTCATCAGTCTCTGATTCTGTAAAACACTATATCATTCCTTTAGGAAAAAAAAAAATATTGCACTTTTAAAAATGCATAAAAATCGAACCGAGTTCCCATTAACCCCACCACACAGTCTGTTATTTAAAATAGGACTTTTCCAAAAATGCATCTCTACTTGTTCTGCGTTCCACCTCCATTCTCCACCGGGATATCCTCAGAGCATCGTCCCTTAGCGATGTGCTCACAGTTTTGCCAGCAGCCATTCGACACACAGCGTGAGCTATGCCAGCCACAGGTGGCTGGGGGTCACAGGGGTGTGCCCAGGCTCAGGATTTCATGGTGCAGATGGGCACCACGATGACCAGGATAACCGTGCAAGCGGCCGCCGCGATCAGGGCAGCGATCTTGCAAACCTTTGCCCTCCTGAACTCGGCTTCTTTCCGTTTCAGCAAGGAATCGTAGCCAGGAGTGTAAATGTCTTCCATCCAGTACTCTAAGTTGTTTGGGTTTAAAGATTCTTGAGTCTAAAAATTGAAAGGAAACGGTTGTTAATTGATTGGGGCCTGTCATTAATAAAATAAGTGAGCAAAGCAGACGTATCCAGCTGCACCTGGATCTGCTGTCAGGATAAAGTGGGTTATTGCCACTTCTCACACCCCTTCATCTCCTGGTCCCAATTCCATAAAGCTGATGAAAGTGGTAAAAAAAAATACTGCAAAAAATAGTCTCCTGCAACAGTAAGATTCTGCTCCAAAATCCCTCACGTACCTCTGATTAACCGGAAACTTCGTCATCTTGGATGGCATTTAAATAAGATCTCTTTAATCTGCTCGACAGCAGAGGTGTCAGCAAGTGCCGGCCTGTTACTGTTAATAATTTTTAAATTATTAAAGCTCAGCTGATGGGAAAGGTTCTTAATATATGCTCCTCATGCACTACATTTTAAAAAGCTAACCCTAATTTTGTCACCATGATTTGCTTGCAGGGCGTGATAACCCAGCCCCACCCAGCACCCAGCCCTGCTGCAGGGGCAATTTACAGACCCCTCCTCTGGAATGGCATTGCCTGGGGACACGGGCAACCTGCAGAACTTCATCAGTATTTCCATCTGAATTACTTATTTTTTTTGTCTTACAGCTTTTTGTTCCTAAGTATTTATGAGCTCTTAAAGCTTTCTATTTTAACCTTGCTTGTTTTTTCTCCCCCTTAACCTCTGTTTTAGAGGAAAATAAAGGGAAAACTTGGGAAACTGAAACTCTACACATTATATTGAACTTATCAGCAGAAAGGAGTAAAGCAAAAAGAACATTTTCAAAAATGACAGCATTTCCCCAAAGCTGTCTCCTTTATCTGAGGCTCCAAAAGCCCATTTCTTTAAAAAAAATGAAAAAGATTCCATATAAAAATATGACAGTGAGAATAGCCTAACAGACACCATTTCTGTGTTTGTAACAGTCCTGATCCAAAGCTTGTTGGACTCTGCAAAGAAACTCCAGCTGACTTGAGAAGGATTTGACTAATCCTTTAGCCTTTAATTGACTAATTCAGATTTTGTGGCCACAAGCTACTGGCTGAAACTTTGCTTTTCCTGATAGCAGCATTTGTTTTATGTAAAGAACTACTAAAAGAAGTGATTCTATAGCTATCTCAGAAATAAACATTGAAAATCGAGCAATGGTTTTATGATCATTTAATGGACACCTCTATTATAGTGTTAGGATGCTGAAACAGAGGCTATCAGCCACACCTGTGATTGTATCTTTAGGGCTTGGAATGACCTGTTTCAGCCTTGTGAAAAAAGGCAGCAATCTCATCTCTAAAGGCATCAGAAAATAGCCTGATACTGTTTGATCCCAGTGGATCATCATACACAAAGCAAAGCAATGAATCTCACACTGAGCCCACACCTGGGACAAGCTTTGGGCCTGACCAGTTTTGCAATTTCTTTTTTTGGAGGAAAACCCAGCAGACTCGTCAGGCTCCAGGGGAAATTTTAAGTAAACAAAGGTAGAAAAACCCCAAAGATAGCAATAGTATGCTTCAAGGAAATTGCAGTTTTGGACCCATCTGCCTTGGCATTGACCTTTTAACTACTTCAGAAGGAAGATGCATTATTAAAAAGGCCCATTACTGTTAATCAGCTTCCTTTCCCATTTCATTGCCAGACGTAGGAATGTTCATTAAGGCATAATGTATTTACTTTCAGTTCTAATAAACTTAATCACTGGGGAAAAAAACCCCACTCATCAGTCTGTGTCTATTTTTTAAGTTTGTCAGTAAGCTCCATTATAAAGTCTAGACATGGGCTTTGCAGGGTAGATGCAATTCTGACAACCTTTTTGGAGGGAGAGAATCAAACCAGTAAACTTCTATCACCTTTATCCTAAAGATAAATGATGGCAATAAGCCGATTTCTCTGGTTTGCTCACAGCCATGCAGAGCTGCTTACAGAGAACAAAACAGCCCAACGAGGAGCAGATGGAGAACACTTCTCCCAGAGGGGCTTTGCTTCCAAATATCACCTCCCTTACTGCCTCACACAGCAGGTAAGTGATGCTGTGTGACTGCCTGATGCAGAGGAACTTCTTCCAGCCCATTCCTACTCTAGCACACAGCCTGCAATGCCAGGGTTAGGAATTTAGTAAGCCATCTAAAGCTTTTAAGACCCAAAAAGCAGCAGGGAGCTGAGGAAAGATGCAGCCTGCTCCCTGTGCTGCTTGGTTTCTCTCAGAGTGCACTTTAGCCACAGCAAGGAGCAGGAGATGGTGAGGACAGGGAAGTTTGCATGAGCCAAGCAAAGAGGTGAATTTGTTGTGCACAAATTCCTGCACCAACACTCATGGCAGTTGCACTACAGCACTGTCAGAGATGGTTTCAAATCCAAATGAGCCAGCTCAGGGTCCTGAGGCACAGCATCCCGATGCTTTCCTAGGGATTAGCCTGATGGGTTTGGAGCTGGCTTAGGTACCCCAGCACTGAGCCACTGGGGGCTGGCATGGAGCAGCAAAGTCTCAGACTCCTCCACACTGCTTTCCCTGGCAGACAAGCTGTGGGGACAAGCAGACTCCCTCTTTGAGCACGGCTGCACCCCACAGAACCCAAAATGCCCGAGGTCAGCACTAGACCTCCCCACTGGTCCTACATTCTACTGTCAAAGTGCATATAAAGGATACACAGAGATTTGCACATCAATGTGGATTTCACTGTGTGACACATTTTAGGTTTTGAGACCAAGAGGTGCGACATTTCTTTGGTTTTTACACATTTTGCATGTCGTCCTTCAGGTCTCCTCTTTAAACCTCTGCTCAGATACCTTCCTTCCTACAAGATGTGTTGTGTTCACCAGACTACACAGGGTATCCAATGTGGGTGCTCATTTTATGTCAAGTTTGTGATTTCATGTCGGGAAAACGTTAATGCAAAATTTGAATGTGTCTCCTCTGCTTGTTGCACAAGAGCCTGCACACTTCCAAGCTGAACCAAAATGCAAACTAGACACAGCATTAGTTGCCTGGCTGGTTTCCAACAGCCACTTCAAAGCTTCCACAGTGACGTGTTTCAAAACCAGTCGTGGTATTGAACATCTTCTACAAGTATTTGATGTCTTGTGTTCCTAGTAAAATGGAAAAAAAAAAAAACCAAATCTAACATTGCAATTCCCTGTGAATAATTCAGAGGAAAAGGCAGCAGTCCCAGCTCCTGCACCACTCTGCCTTGCTGCAGTTAGGGACCAGCTCACCTCTGCACTCCCTTATTCCCCAACTCTTCCTTAGAGCTACTAAAGCCATGATGGCTTAGAAGACATCTCTCCATTGCAGAATAAGCTGGGAGCATCAGCCTGTCAAGGATCACCATTCAGAAACAAAACATTCACATTCTTCATAGTCCCTGGCCAGGATGGATAGGGATCAGCAAGATTAGAGGCTCAACAATCCACAGCTCTTTCCTGAGCTATTCAAATCCCTCCTTAAATGCATATTCTGGCAACATCCATTTGCAATCAAGCCATTCAAATTAAACAAATGAGACTCACTTGTAGATCCAAGGCGGCAATCTTGCCTTTATCCCCCGAATTCCTCGTGTATTCCTCTATGGTCCATGATGGCTGGGCACGTTTCACTTCAGCCAGCTCTGTCAACCTCATGTCTGTGTAGAGAGGGTTGCTTTTCATGTGTGACTTGAGTGATGCAGGGTAGGGATGAGGACTAAAGACTTGTTCAATCAAGAAAGCGTCTTTTGGCTGTTTAGAGAGTCTATGTGGCTGTGGGATTTCATATTGCCTGTCTGCCTGCAATAGGGTTTAAAAGAATTTGAGAGAAAAAACAAGACTATGAGGGAGTTAAACACAAAAGACAGAGATATTCCTTTCAGAAGCACCATATGATAAAAAATAGACCGGCTAGGATAAAGGTTTTGGATGGCCTTCGTCCATTTGCCCACCTTCTTCTCACAAACAAACCAAAGAGGTATTCAGGTATTTTACAGACACAACTCCAACATGAAACACAATGCTGACACAGCAGAAGAAATTTAGGGTTTGTGCTGTTCAGAGATCAAAAAAATATTCTGAAAATGGCCCTGACAACCAGAGAAGCCCAGCTGATCTGCAAAAGCTGAGAGATACAAGCAGGCTTCCAGGTTTCTGTTTCCAGATCAAATCCTAACGTGAATTATTCTTCAGGGATGCCCCCACCTGACACTGCAGCATCCAGTGTCAGCCACAGGCCACTGAAGGAGTCTGGGAGGGACTCTCAAAATCAGCATGTCATCCTAAGCAAAGCAATGTACACAAAAGCCAAGGTTTGGGCTGACTAAGGATGGCCTTCCTCCCCCTCTGCAGTCTAGCAATAACCCATGGTTTGCGGTTTCTTGTTCACCCAAATGCACTTCTTTCCACCAAACCTCTTCCTCTCTGTTCTCAACCCTCCTCTGCCCTCACACCCCAGTGCAGAGGGCAGAGCAAGCCTGTCCTGTGGTCACAGCTGACAAGGGGCTGCAGGACCCCCTCCCCAAACAGAAACAAGCACCCACCCCTGCAGTTTCACAGAGCAGCAGCCAGAGCCCCAAGGACATCCATGGGGTCAGTGAAGGGGGCACAGGGAAGCTGCTGGGAGCATGGGCAGAGTTTTTCTGCCCAGCCAAACCAAGAGCCCAGCTATGCTGCAGTTCCACAACAGGAGGCTGAAGACTCATTTAAATGACCATGAAAGTCAGATAGAGAGAACATAACTAAAATGAGCATCTCACAGCACACATACGAGGGTTTTTTCCTTGAGGGATTTGAATCCATGAATCTATTTTGTTGGCTTTTAAATATGTACATACTTCTCTGATAAAAGCCATCACGATTCAATTTCAAAATATCCCTTCTAAAACAATCACTAGACAATTTCAATTTTCCCCACACCCTTTTCACCAAGGTAATTACCAGGCCTCCTTATGTTGCTGCAGATGATGAAAAATACCATCACCTTCCCAAGATGTCATCCACATTACCACCCTTACTTTGCAAAAAAGCAAAGCTTTTGAGAAGCAACTTGGCCATTTTGCAGCTGCCAAGCAAGAACCTACAGGTACAAAATCACTCAATTATGATTACAATAAAGGCAGGCATAACATGGCAAGGCAAAGCATTGTCGTACCCGGAGGCTTGTGATGACTGTGGAAGGCATTCATAACCACATTATTTTTATGCATTTATTATGTGAGTTAAAGTTGAAATTACCTCCTTAGATTTCCTGTGCCAGTCCTTATTTTCTCCTCCATCTCTCTCTTTCACTTCCTCCTCTGTAATGCCAACTTGGTTGGTGTAAGTAATAGCTCTCCAGTCTCGGGGAGAGTTTGAAATACTTGCTATTTTGGATTCGGTCGCACTGTTTTCTTCTGTTAGTGATCTTGATGATCTCCTAGTAAACAAACTTTTTTTTAAGGCTTTTACTCGAAGACTCTCACTATTACTTCCACTGGCATCTGAACAGCACCATTCTGGATTATTCTCCAGTTTGCCTCCATGAGGAGTATTGTGGCACTGAAATATCTGCGGGGAGTTGCTCTCATCTGACGCGGCATCGCTTGTCAAAGAGTTGAGATCTATTTGTACACTGACCTTCTCTGGCTGCTGGATTTTTTGATCCAGCTTGCTTAATTTTCCCAGGACTTGAGAGATTTCTTCTCGGACACCTGAGAGAGATTCCAGTTTCTTCTCTATTTCACCAATCCTCAAGACTAATTTGCAGACACTCGTTTTCAGTTCATCATCTGTGTTACTCACATCTGCCCTGACCACTTTATCCAGTTTGTTACAGGCACTCCCATTGGAGATCTTAGTCAAATTGTGCTCAGGTGAGCTCTCACAGTCTGATTTATGCACCTGAGACAAGGAACCAGTGCTGTTGTAGCATGAGGACTGCATCACTCCCGTGGACCCGCTGATACTCATGTCATCCAAAAACCTGAAAATGTCACTGATGTCATCGCTCACGATTTCAGAGTCATCATCTGACTGCTTCAGAGAGTGCCGCTCGCCGTACTTGGCTTGGCCTGCTGCACACAAATCTTTGCATTTCTTGTGCTCCAGAACCTGCTGCTCTGTTTGTGTCCCAACACTCATGGTCCTGTCAATGCTTAAGATCTGCACAGAAGTACAGTTAATGCTTTTATCCTTAAACTTTTTGACTGGCTCATGTTTCTCCACATCTAGAATGGAAGGAATTTCCTTAGGTTTATGCCCGTTGGGTTTCACAGCATAGTTTGCCTGCATAATTGGTTGCTGATCCTTTGCATTTAGGTAGGACTGATGCCTGTCAACTGAAGGAAAGTTTGGAGATGGGTTGCTCGAACTCTGGTATCGTGGTTTCTCTTCAGACTGCTTCCTATTAAAAAATGAGCGTTCAAAGTCAGGGACCTCCTCAGTATTTAAACTCCAGCTTTTAGCTGGCCAGGCAGTTTGCTTGGTTGGCTTTCCAGTCCACTTTTTGGTTTCCTGTGGTCCAAGAACAGTAGTTGGGCCAAAATATGTTGAAGCCTGAAGATCATCTAAACTTTCATGCTTCACTCGCCTTTTGTCCGGTATAGGAGAATAAATTGGATTCAAGTACTGGCTGCTGTATGGCATTTCAAAGCTGTGGTTGAAGAAAGTCTGCTTAGAGCTTTCTTTCCTGTTCTGAGGCTCTCGGTGCCCATCTTCTGGTGCTTTGTTGGATGGTATTAAATTGGGAGATATTGTAATCAGATTATGAAAATCTTCTTTGAATATATTTCTTTTCTGGACACACGACTGCATCATGAACGGCTCATCATTTGAAATGAAAGTTTCTTTTAAGCCTGCACTTATAGGCAAGGAATCCTGGTCTGAAATAGATTCATTTTCAATGTTCATGGGGAAGTAGGTACTCTGCATCTCACATGGTGGGGACGTGGCAATGGAGTAGGATGCCAGTGCCTGCAGCCTGTCCAGAGAGGCAGTCCGGCCCTTCATGTCCTTATTAACACCAAGCAAGAAGTTGGGTTCTGATGAGGGGACAAACTGCTGGCAGTCTTTGCAGTCCATCTTTCTGCATTTTGAAGACCTTCTGACAGGAAAGGCCCGGTTAAAGTCCTGGTCGTTGAGCTCACAGTTGGGCACGCAGTCAGGCACACAGTCTGCCATATTGCAGATCTCTGTGTCAGACCTGCAGGACTCGAAGGACTCCTTCTTCTTCACTTTGTGCCTTGCAACTGGAAGCTTCTCCTTGGCCACTCCCCCGTTCATTTGTATGAGGTTGAATATCGTTACTATATCTGCTGCAACCATGATTTTCTTTGATTGCTGATTGTTTACAGTGCATCTCATTTTGTCTTTGAACAAAGTCGCTGGGAAATTAGGATCCAGGCAAGCAGTGTAAAACAGCACGCTTCTGAGCTTGGCCAACTGGGATAAATCAAACCTTGCACACAGGGACTTGCAGAGATCCTGGTAAGAAACAGTATTCTGCTTTGTGTCCAGCTCCTCCAGTATCTTCACCAGGAAGAGTGAGGATTCCTGGTTGGACTCCATGGCTTAAGTGTGTTTTGCCGTTTAGCCTGGAAACCACGTTCCACTTCTACAGCAACACAAAAAAGATTGTAAATCACCCACAGGTAATACCCAGGGCCTTGCAACTCAGCTAGAGATGGGGCCTGACTCCCTAACCATGCCATCCAGGGCATGCTTTTATAACCCATCCTCATGTTCTGAACTTCAGGCTGCAATCCCAGCATCCAATAAATCAATACTTAAATGGAATCGGGATTTTATCTGAGAAAGCTCCTTTATGCCAATGTCTACTAAAGCAACCAAGTGAAAAAGCAGAGGAAGCTTTGGAGAGGCTGAACTAATGGCAGATAGACAATAGCCTGCACAGAATTTCAGCACAGAATTTCTTACCAACTTATGAGAGTTTCAAAGCACAGTTTAAGCATCAAATTGTCTGCAATCATTTCAGTCCTAGCCTAAGCAGGGCTGATCCACTGCACCATGACATGTTTTCATATCTGAATGCAAATGGCTCTGAAGAAGATTTTCTGTCAATAAACTTCTGACATGTTTTTAGAAGTTATCTGAGAACATAATTGCCATCTTGCTTGCTTTAATCCATTATTTTCTCCTCTGCTCTGAATTATCTCCTTTGGATACTTTGACATATTTTTTCCAGAAATACCTTTTCAAGAATGGAAAATTTGCCAGGTCCCACATGAAAAGTGTGTGTGGGCCCCGTTTGGACTCTAAAGTCCAAAATTTAGCAAAGAACAGAAGGAGTTAAAAAAAAAAGGAATCTTACTGAACCTTGAAACCAATCCAGCAGATGCTAGAGGGCTGGCTGCCAATCAGGATGGATTTGAAGACAGAGAAATATCAAGGACAGAGAACATCCTCTTCAGTGATGTGCTCCCAGTGAAGCCTAGAAGTGCATTTCCATTCACCATCCCGAAATGACAGGGCAGAGGTGAAGAGCAAAAGCTTCACATTTATGTGGATAACAGGAATAGCTTGAACAAGCACAGCTAACACTAGCAAACATCTTGGGGAGAATATAAACCCCTGCACTTTCAGAATTGAAAACAACCTTTAGCTATTATGGATTAGGAAAGGATGTTGACGATTTTTCATCCATCTATTGTAAATATCCTTGTCGGTGTCTCTGCTGTTGGCTACTAGGAAAGACAGAGCACAGGCTGATGCAGTCTACCAATTGCTGCATTTGGTCACTCTGTCTTTGTTATTCTTACTGATAGGAATGACAAAAATCTTCTCAGTCTCCCAAAAAGGTATGTTATCTTCCCCCATTCACTGCCACCCTTAGATGACCCCTGGAACTGGCCTCTCCTCCATCAAGTGCAGAATATCCACCCAAATGGCAAAGCACTGAAGTCAACGTTGCAAGGCTTATTATTACTCATTCTAAAAGGCACCTTCTGGTCAAAGACCTCAGGACTCCTGAGCACCACTCCAGAATCCAGGGCTCCTGTTCCATCTCCTGCCCTGACATCACACATCAGTGATTGCTATCAGTGTCAGAAGCCAGAGCACTTCAGCTGTCATAACAGATAGTTACCCAAAAGAATACAAAACAAGTCTCCATATGAACTCGGCTGTTTATTTAAATAACATCTCTCTACTGTGTGTGACCAGGAGCTGAGCAGCAGCAACGTGGATGTATTTCTGTGATTGTAAACATAGCTCTCAGAAAGCAACGGCTACAGGGATTTTCCAACACCTCTGCTGCATGCATGTTTGCTTTTAAAGCTCCTGTATTATGCATAGCAGCACAACTCTTCTGCCAGCTGACAAAGGAGAAAAAATGTTTTACTGTTCTGTGCTCAGCTCCAAGAAGTAATGCAAAAGGCTGGAGGAGGGTGCTTGTATCCTTTTTCTCTCAGCAGAGTGTGCTTGGAGGCACAGCCTCTTTCACAGCCTGCCTTTGTATTTCTCTGACATGCCACCATTAATGATGCTCCTATGCTATGTCCAAACTCTGCTAGTTACCACCAAGGCTACCAAGTTCTTACAGAATAAACTTCACGTGTGGGGCTCAGAGACATTCCCAGCTGATAGGGGGCTGGCATTCCAAGTCAATTTTCTGCATGTTATATATCTGCCACTTGGGACAGGAGTGAAAATATGTCTTTTTGTCACCTCCAGGCTGAATACCAGCAAAAGCAACTATCTCCTCCTATTTGTAAATTCACAGCTTCTTGCCAGCCCCTCACCTGGATATACATTTTCACAGCCTGATGCACACCCTGCACTGGCCTGCCAGCAGCCTGCCTTCTCCCCACTCACACTCCTGCTAAAACACCCAAGTAGCCAGTTTGCACTAATGTATTTTGAAAAGTGTCAACCCATTTTGTTCCCCACCCTTCTGTCTTTACCCTCTCATCCCAGTGAGGATATCCCAGGTACAGCTTCTTGAAAATCTTTGCTTTGCACCAAGCCATTCTTTGTGTCATCAGAGGTTTTAACTTCAATTCAGGTTTCTAAACACCATGAATCTGGTAAAACTCAGGTGTAGCCTGAGTGATGACAAGCTCAGTAAATTGAGTGGAAGCCCTGCTGCATATCCCCAATCTCATGATGCTTGTACTTAGCACCAGCAAGGACCTTTGTTTTGGGGACCCCAATCCATACACAAGCAGAAAGGCAGAGGCACTGAAGCACAGAGGCAAAGCAGGAGAGCCCAGCTAGGCTGGGTTAGCTCAGTCCCACCCCTGTGCTCCCAGACCCAAGCCTGGCAGGTGGCAGTCAGCTATAAAGCAGTGAGAGATCAGGGATGTGACAGAGGCTTTGAGACAAGGGTGACCAGGAGAGAGCTGAACCTGCTCAGGTGGGAATTCAGCCAGTTCATTCAACTGAGACTCAGCTATGGGAGGTGGAAACTGAAATGGCAGGTTGCAAACTCAGATATAGGCCTTGAGAAAAAGAAAGCTAGCTAGGAGCTGTAATAATTTCTTCTTCACCCCTTGGCTGTTCACAAACAGCTTTTTAGTGTGAGAGAATTTTAGGTGTGAAAGATATCTCTGGGCTTCAGCCTGAACATGGAAACTGGTGCTCCCTTGTGCCAGAGCATCAGAAACATTGCTGCTAGTGGAGCACCAACAGATTGGGGCTGTGAAGAACAGGATGTACTACCCCTAAGGATAATATATAAGGGCTTTGGAATCTTGTTTCCTGGTTCAGGGATGTGAAAACCTGGTGCCAGAATTTTTAGTGGCACATTAAGCTCCTCTGCCTCTTGTCAAGCCTCCTAACAGCCTGCGACAAAGACGGGCGCTTCTTGGCAGGCCAGCCCAGGAGCTGCCACATCCCAGGTGCCAAGCACTTGGCCAAGCACCATCTCAGCCATTATGTCCACGTTCATTCAGTATCTCTCAAAGCAGGACCAGAATAGAGCTAGACGTGGCACATAAATGCAGAGCTCTGAAATGAGCACAGGAAGGCCTTTTAAAGAGGGTACAGGGTCACGAATCAGTCAAAAGCAGCAAAGCAAATGGAAGCACCCACAGCAAGAGCAGCACACAGGGTCTCCTCAGATGGCCTCAATTCCACCAATGTCCTCGTGCCTTCCCCTCACTGCCAGCAGCCACACACACCCCCCAAACCCTCCCCAAACTGACTTTGGTCTCCAGACGCATGGAGCTCCCCGGACAAAGGGATGGGATCTGGCTTATTTATCTCCACCAAGACCATCTCTGACCAAAGCAGCCACTTAACATTTCATCCTTAATGATTTTGTTATATTAACATTGGAAGGGTCGCTTTGACTCAGCTTCCCGAGATTTGACATTTGCTGCTCTAATAGCACAATTATATCCCAGCATGGGCTTGTGGAGCATCAGATTGCACAGCCAGTCGATGGGGGCTGGCTCTCCTTGCACGCAGATGAGCTCCAGACTTACCACAAATCGATGTCTTCTTGCCCTGCACCAGGAGCAATGAACTGAGCTCTCATCTTACCACTAACCCACTGCCTCAGCCTCTGGAGGAGAAGTCCAAGAATATTACAATTGCAAGCTCCATCCCCAGAGGAGCTCTCTGCTGCACAAAGGGAATATACTGTTCTATTTTCTGGTGTCTTTAGGAACCAAGCCTCCATGAAACCTCTCCCCTGTGGTTCTCCAGACCAGGGGAATCTGCAGACTCTTTCATGCATGTTGCTTCCTGGTAGGAAAGCCAGAATGCACCTCCCATCCTTACCACCTCCCAAATCAGCAGTGGGGTGAGGGTGCTCCCTTCATCTGCTGCCTACCCTATAAATTTGCCATCCACAGGAATTCATGGAATTAGTACTGCTTCCCAGTTGCCCTGGCTGCTTTCCTGTGACTCCTTGAGCCCAAACCCTGCCCTGCCAAAGGGTCTAAGGGCAGCACACACCGAGGCAGATAAACCCCAGCACAGGATTCAAGAGACAGTCCCACCACTCGACTTCCCTGAGCAGCTGCAGGGTGGCAAGGTGCCCTGCACGAGTCTGAATCACGGCCACTGCCACACAGACCACATTATCTTCCTCTCTTATTTCCTCCTTCATTTCCTCCTCTGTTCTTTGTGCCACTGACATTTGTTCTCCCCATCTCCCAATATCCACAGCAGGTGCAGCTACCACACAGATGTGACTCTCCCTTTGATTTGCCAGCCAAGAGGGAAAAAGCACCCTTGTTTTGTCCCCCCCACGGTGACAAACGGGCCACCCCAGAATGCCACTACAGCAATGCAACAGCAGAGTGATCCTTGCATAAATCCCCTCAGAAAGAGCCAGCCACTTCAGCACAGCAGAACATTAATACAGAGCCAGTGATATGCTGTTTTACTATTAACTTGGGCTCATAAATCATTCAGCCTGCCTTCCCAGCACCAGATACTATAAAACAAGGCAGGCAACGCTTGCCTCACATGAAATGTAACCCGTCGAGACGGAATTCAGTTTTTGTTTTCTCCCACACTCATAAATTCATTTCTCTGTCAAAACATTAAGAAATTTCTGATGAAGGAATGGGGACCTCGAGCCCCATCTGGCTTCCACT